ATAAAAAAAAAAAGAAAGAAAAAAGAAAAAGAGAAATTAAAATAAATAAAACATAAACGAAGCAGTATTTCCTGTAGAGCCTGACAAAAAAAAAAAAGAAGAAGAAAAAAAGAAAACTTAGACGCCGCGTAGGGTCTCGTAATATTAATTAAATTAAATTAAATTAAATTAAATTAAATTAATTAATTAATTAATTAATACGAGAAAGAGAGTACGTAGATTACGTGAGATTAAAATAATTATGGTGAAAAAAAAAAAAAAGAAGAAGAGGGGAAAAAAGATAGGAGATTGAAACAAAAAAAAAAAGAGAACTATATACCATGGTGCGAAAAGAAAAACGAGGTGGTATGTAAACACACACACACAAAAAATCCACCGTATAAAATGTGTCGAATGACTTTTCAATACGACAACACAAAAATCGTGGAATATCGCGGATATTGCAATATGTGAATCGTTTTTTTTTGTTTTGTTTTGTTTTTTATTTTATTTTTTTTTTTTTTTCTAGAACGACGATATTATTATTATTATTATTGTATACGTATAATAATTAACAAGAGAAAACAATGTTCCTCCAAGCTGAGTAAGCCAGCCTTACGAAAATAATTGTAGTTTTTAAGAGCGTTAGTGCCGATATAATAATATTATAATAATTTAAAATGAGAAACACAAATGAATAATACACATATATATGTATATATATACAAACAACGTACTACCAACACACACACACACAAAACAAAAACGCGAAGAATACAACAAATTTTACAATAAATAATTAAACTTACGGGGAACAACACGCGGGAATAAGAAGAACAAAAAAACAAAAGAACAAAAAAAAAAAAGAAACATGACGAACAAATAAAAGAACAGCAAGTATTATTTATAGCACGACGTTTCGTGAAAAAAAAAGAAAACAAAAAAAAAAACAAAAATATCCTCGAAGGATACAAAAGCGGAAAGAAAAAGAAAAAAAAAATAGTATAAACGCGCGCGAAAAAAAAATTAGAAGAAGAAGCGAAACAAAATTCGTTTTTTCTTTTTACTTTTTTTTTTTTTTTTAATTCGTCGTACGTTGATCGAAGTTATTATTTAAAAAAATAAGAAAAGAAAAGAAAGAAGAAAATTAAAAAGAAAAAAATCAATACCATTAGAATCCTTTTAAAATTGAGCGTGTTTGTGTGAGTGATCTCGATTTGTGTTCGCAGTTCGAACAAACAAAAAAACAAACGTTAAAATGCCTGTTTAACGAGAAACGCGCAAATTTTGTATTTTTTATTCAATTACTCGAAGAGGACACACCACTACTTATTATTTAATAAACATAAGTAAAATAAAAAGAATAAAAATCGTTTGTTCGACGTGTCTTCTTCGTGTACAAATGTGCACATACAAACAAACACACATACACTAACAAACAAACAAACAAATGGAATGAGAAAAGAAACGAAGATAAAAATGCTCGACCATCTTCCTGATCTCCCCCACCCCATACCTGTAATCTACTATCCCTACCTAAATCTCCTGTAACACCCCCCCCCACCCCAAACAACTTTTGAAACGTTCTGATACCTAAATAGCGCCTAGCATTATTTTTCTACAATTTTACGTTTCGTCAGTATTCTAATTAGAATATTAGAGGATTCTTTTTAAAAAATAAAATAAATAAATAAATATATATATATATATATAAATAAATAAAAAAACGAACACACTTTGCGACGCTTTTGTCAAATCTAAAACTCCGAAGTTCCGATTTTGAAAAACGAAAAAAAAAAAAGTGTTGAACAAATTTTGTACGGAAAAGAATAATTAAAAAAAAGAAGAAAAAAAAAAATGAAAAAAAATGTAAATCGATAAAGTTTGATTTTTGTATAAAAAAAAATTCGTTGCCATAAACTTCGGGGTTTTTAGACTTTGATATTCGTAATAATGTTCAAATAATTATAATAATTATTATAATATAATCTATACATCACTCTTTATACACACAAATAATTAAAAAGAAAAAAAAACACACATAGAGACAGCAGAAAAACAAAAAGATAACTAATTACACAAAGAAGACACATACAACGCTTGTATGATAGTTACTATAGAAATAATAATATTAATAATAATAATAAAAAAAATAAAAATAACAAAAAAAAGGAAATACGTGTCGCAAGTGGTCACGAAAAACCAACACGCCCCCCCCCACCCCACCCCCATAAGACGATTATTATTTACCGTGTCGTATTATTTGTGTTGTTCAGTATACGTATGAATATTAAAAAAAAAAAAAAAAAAAAAAAAAAAAAAAGTCAACTTTATAATCTAACAATAAGTTAATTTTACTTGCGAACTCTCCAATCGATTTTTTATTTTTATTTTTATAACAACAAACACACATGCATACACACAACAACAATTACTTATTTCTCTCTCTCTCTCTCTCTCTCTCTCTTAATTTTTTTTTTCCTTTATCAAATAAGTACTGAAAAAAAGAGAAAGAAAGACAGAGAGAGAGAGAGAGAGAGATATATATAAATATAAAATATATTTATAGATGCTATCGTTTTTCTTTTCTTTTTAATTGTTATTTTTAAAACCCATAAGTTTGTTGTTGTGTTGTAACGACGCATATGTGTGTGTGATAAAAAATATAAACAGCTTTCGTGACCGACAGACCGTATGACAAACGATGTACAATGCATCACCATGATACACGCACTATTTTAGCAAACATTAAGCTTATAAATAAACAAAAAAAAAAAAAATACAAATATACGAGAATAAAATATGTGCGTATATTTAAAAACATATATTTATATATTTATATATAAAAAATATATATAAATATATGCGCAAGTATATATAATACCCTCTGTGTACACCCAATACTTTTTTTTTTCTTTATTCTTCTTTTTTTTTTTTTCTTTTCTTTTCTTTTCTTACTTTTTAACTCTTACAACGTAAGCGTTCCTCTAACAAGGAGACCTTACGGTTGTGCCCTCACGAATTTTAACGAGCTTTGATATATTAGTAGTATACTAGTCGGGTGTTATCGTGGTAAAATATTTTATCAAAATGTGAAGCCAATTTTGAGAAAAAAGCTGTAAAAGTTTTGATTTTTTTTGTATACATGTTTATATTATCTTAAATGCAATTGCATATCGAGTGGCGTGCTAGCCTAAATGGTAGCGTGCTCGCTTCTCGTTCTGCTTGTTACTGGTTCGATCCTTCATAGGGGAAGTTTTCATTAATAATAATTTTTTATTTGTTTTTTCACAATTCTTAATTTTTAAATATATACAGGAAAGAGAAAATTATTTATTACAAAAAAAATTAGAACTAAAAAATTGTTTATAACATCTTGTGCAAATAAATAAGAAAAAATTTAATTCTTCAATTTACAGTGTGAAACATTTTATTTTATAACAGGTATATGAAAAAATATATAAATCTTCAAATATACTAACAATATTCAATATACTTCTGTATATATTTAAAAATTAAGGATTATGAAAAAAACAAATAGAAAAAAATTATTAAAAATACTTCCCCGATGCAGGTTCGAACCATTAACTAGCTGCACGAGAAGCGAGCACGCTACCACTTACGCTAGCACGCCACTTGATAAACAGTTGCATTTAAGATAATATAAACATGTATACAAAAAAATCAAAACTTTTACAGCTTTTTTCTCAAAATCAGCTTCGCATTTTGATTAAAATACTTTACCACGATAACACCTTACTAAAATACTACTAATATATCAAAGCTCGTTAAAATCCGTGAGGGCACAACCGTAAGGTCTCCTTGTAAATGCTGTGCATTAAAAAAAAAAAAAAAGAAGAAGATACGTTTTGTATTCAAAAATTATCGGCTGCGAGGGAGGGAGGGAAGCTGTAGGGGTACCGAGGGGAAAAAAGGATTTTTGTTCGGAAATCAATAATAAAAAAAAACAAATAAAAAGACAATTTCGTTAATATTTAATAAACTTGATGATGAGAATAATTGCATAAAAATATTTCATTGTATAACACGTTTGAAACTAAACGAAAATCTTGTTAGAGGAAGCAAACAAAAAAAAAAAAAGAATTGAGTGTATATAAATATGCAAAAATATATACATATATGTATATATGTATGTATATGTGTACGCATATATATATGTGTATATACAATTTACATATAAATATAAATATAAATAAATAAATAAATAAATATATATATACATATATATATATATATTATTTAAGTAATGCTTTGTACAATAAAAAGGTATTAAGTGAATCCCAAAAGTGATTTTATTAATATACTATACCTAAACCATATATGATAAATTCGTTTAGAAATAAAAAAAAAAAGAAACTCAGCTAACCCACCCCGTGGATGTTAAAAGATACTAATTAAAAAAAACAAAAAAGAAATAATTCATTATTAACGATCACAATTATTTTCTGACATATAACATCTTAAAATAAACTTTATGATTTATATTTCGTTTTGTTATTATTTTTCAGTTATGCGACGAGCAATGGAAGCAAATCGTGTACGTGCAACTGATCCAAGACCCTGTCCAAAATGCGGAAAGATATATAGATCAGCTCATACGTTGCGTACACATTTGGAGGACAAGCATACCATTTGTCCAGGTTACAGATGCGTATTGTGCGGTACGGTTGCTAAATCAAGGAATTCGTTGCATTCCCATATGTCGAGACAACACCGTGGAATAAGTACGAAGGATTTGCCAGTAATACAAATGCCTAGCCCGTTTAATCCCGAATTGGCGTCGCAATTGTTAGAAAGGGCTGGTATTAAAATTAGCCCGGCTGATTTGCGGGCCAGGGTAAGCCCGACCGGTCCCCGTAGGCCCGAAATGAGATTGGAGGTCCCAAGAGTTGGACCATCTTCGGAGGCTGGTAGTAGTTTGTGCGGTGGTGACGATCCGGAGGATTTAACTTTGCCGTTAAGTTTAAGGTACGGTTCACCAACACCCAACAACAATACCGTCATCAAAGTGAATTCGATTAACAACACGTCTGCTAACAGAACTGCTACGCCATCGTCAACAGTGGTAGCCGTTAAATCGTTCAAAACTTCACCGGATAATCGTGAACCTAATACTGCACCTATACATCCGACATCATCGGGACTTCAGCATCGTTTGACCCATCAACAGAATCAAAGTGGAACCGGTTCTGTTTTACTCGATACTTATTTACAAATGATCGCGGAAAATTCATTGGGCCCATTAGGATTGACCCCTGATTCGGCTGCATTGGTTGCTGCAGCTCATACTGCTAAATTAACCTCGCACATGAATTCGGTAGAAAACAAATTGGCAGGGCGTAGTAGTTTAGAGGATTATTCATTAAACGATAGGGACGAAAACAATCCAGTGTCTGCCATTGTTAACGAGGAAAGACAAAATTGTTCTTCAAACAATAGGCATACCATCGGTGGTGGTGCTGGTGGTAGTGGTAGTGCTGCTGCTGCTACTGTTGGTATCATTGATGATGCTGAATTTTCACCTAACGAGGATGATTACAGCGACAACGAGGAATCCGAAATTAATTCCAAAGCCGAACAGTAAACATTTTTTCCCCCGTTCGTCGTTATTATAAAAAAAAAAAAAAAAAAAAAAAATAATGATAAGCGATAGAGACAACTAATGAATGGAAAGGAAAACAAATCAAATTTTATGACGATATTTAAAACACTATTAATTAATAGTAACTAACCCTTCGCGTGTTATTTCAATGAAGGCTTATTATAATTTAAGATTATTATTCAATCTATCGATGTGTGTGAGACAATTCGATTATCCTTACAAGATAATTTAAGATTAGATAAAAAAATTTTTTTTTTTAGGACACGATTATGAGATTAATCCCATTGAAGTATGGGGTTTCAACAATTCTATTCGAAATTTCCTCATTCCTATCTTGAAATAATTGACAAATCTTAATTATGATTCCCATTCGGAATAGAATCTTCTAGAAATAACAACAATCTTCGTGTTCTTCGTTTATTTAAATGTTTAAGCAAACATTAAAACAGAAGAACCGAAGAAGAAAACATAAAACAAGAGAAGTTCGCGAAAATAAACAAGGAAGACAAAATATAATTCGATTAAACAAGAAACATTATGATCCCCCCCCCGCCCCCCGATTAAAATACGATGATGACGATGATATGATTATAATAACAATAATAATAATTAACAGTATCGTTATGATATATTTTCTAACGAGTTAATAATAATCGTTGCGGTATAAATTTGCAAATTATATTTGTATTATTGTCGTATGATACGAATCATCCCTTTAAACGGGACGTTAGGGTAGTTCATACGAAGCTTTTCGCATAAACGAACCTTATATGGGTTACTACTGGTAACGAAAGAGTTAACAAATAATACATACACACGTATTCACACATATATATATATATTATACACACACACAGAGAGACATTTATTCCATCCGACTACCTCAATGCATGCGATTAAAAGTTAAACTAACTTAAGTGTAAATAAAACAAAACAAACAAATTTAAAATGAATCTCATTAATGGAAAAGAAAAAGAAACAAAAAACAAACATAAATAATAATAATAATAATGTGTAATTAAGACGAAGAGACAGAGATAGTGACAGATATATCGCAGGTAATAATGACGCATCGAATACGTGCGTATAATAATTATTATATGCATGCAAAACACACAGGCGCATCATCATCGTTCGATGATTAATTATTATTAATGTTAATTGTCAAAATCTATAAAAAAAAAAAAAACCGATATCAACTTTTGTTTTTTGTTTATTGGGGCAAGAATATTTTCTTTTCTTTCTTTGTTTTTTTTTTTTGCTTTTTTTCTTTTTAAATATTTATTGGAAGAAAGAAAAATCTTGCTGTGTGTGCTGTGTGTGTATGTATGTGTGTATGTTGTGTGCATGCATGCGTATAAACCAACACACACGAGAGGATATTAAATCTTTTTTTTTTATCTCTCTATTATTATTATTATTATTATTAAGTCCTTATTAGTTATTTTATTATTAGTTATTATTATTATTATTATTATTAATTATTATTAATTAGTAATGTTATATATGAATGTGTTGGGACAAAGTACATATTGTCTAGATTTATAGGAAACAAAAATTAATGCATGACACATTTAGAAATACACGTTTACATGACCCCCCTCCACCCACCCCTCACGTGAGGCAGTGATTTCTTTAAAAAAAACACAAACAAATTCTAAAGTTACGGTAAATAAAATCAACATTAAGATCAGGTATCTAGGTTGTTTTTTTTTTGCATCAGAACAATTGTTAATCTTTTGAAAAAAAGAACTTATGTTATAATTTTTTTTTTTTTACACATATCTACAAATTTGTTGCATAATAAACAAATTGTTTGAACGAAAGTATATGTCAGAAATATTTTCTTGTTGCAACAACGATATTCATTTGTCATCGATTCAACGTCATTCAATTGTTTAAACAAAATTCATTATGATCGTTTTGTTTTTCTTTTTTTCTTTTTTTTTTCTTATTGAAAAATGTTGTCTTAAAAATTTTTCGTCAAACAAAATAAAATAATAATTAATATAACATTTGTTTAATAATTCTCTTGCAAAATTCGTCTAATCACGATGCACATTGAATTAATATAAATTTAAATATTAATTGTTTAAATAAAACATTATTATTCACACACATAATTCCGTCCATGAAAACGTTCAAAGTTTTTAACCCCCCCCCCCGAAGGGGTTGACAAAACGAAAGTAACACACCCCACCCCATTTTCTCACGAGGCCCAAATATTTGATTTTTCAAATTTTATTTCTACCATAATTTGACATGAATTTTTATTATGACAAATTTTTATAAATTATTTAGAAAAAAAAGTAATCAAGTATAATATCATAATTAAACCTGAAAAAAATTATTTATATTGTAATAAACAATAAAACAGGGTGAATTGTAATATTACAAACGATCGAAATACGTAATACTAATAGAAAAATGTGTTTTTTTATTAAGTAATCACTGCTTATACACACACAGACACACATTTAAACGAAAAAAACTCTTACACACGCACACAAATTAATTGATATTCGTATATAGTGTGCTTGGGGGCTTTTTATTCTACGTGAAACTTTTATTGCAAGCAAAATTTGACGATAAATTTATTGCGATAAATAATAATAATAATAATGATAATAATAATAATAATAATAGGGCAGCCATTTTTAAATTAATACGAAAAACGCGAACTGAGGGGGGGTGTCGTAATAATAAATATAAACTTATTAAAAGATTTATATATAAAAACGCGAAACCGAAACAAAAACAAAAAAAAGAAAAGGAAAAAAAACAAGTATATACTCCACCATAGACAACCTTGAACATTATTTTTGTTCGTTTTTTTTTCTTTTTAAATAACGAATTAATAATAATCATGATAATAATAATAATTAACATTATTTATTGTTAATATTATTATTATTATTATTATTACTATTTGTTCGTTAATTTGGTCGGCGTATTTTTTTATGAATAATTATTATTAGAAAAAAGAAAAAAGGTAGGGGAGGGTGGGGGGTGGGGGGGTTGCAGTTAATTGAAACGAATGATGAAGATCGTTCGAACGTATAATTTTTATATCGATACTGCTTATTTTTTTTTTTTCTTGGTATTTTGTTTATTTTCCATTTCATTGAGCACTTATCATGACGACTTATTAAATATTAAGTATTTCGACTCCATTTTTTTATTTTTTTTTATTTTTTTTTTATTAATTTCGATTTTTTTTAATTGGCTGCGTAGAATTATTATACAACAGACGTGTAAAGGGGATGAAAAATGGGGGAGGAGGTAAGGGTGGCTTAGGTTTTATGAAGAGGGAAAAAGAAATTAAATGATAAATTGTTAAACAATTTTTTCGGTTTCAATTATTCAGCTCACATTTTTACGCGAATTATTAATTTATGTGTGAATAAATGAAAATAATATAATTGAATTAATTGATTCGCGAATATATAAACGTCATAATATATTATCTTCGTTCACGCGTAAATATATTTATAATAATAATAATAATAAATATATTTATATTTATATATAAACAGGGTGTGTCCATATTACCCCATTTTAAATGGTGCAACCGTGTATATTTTGAAAATTATACAGGTTCACGATACGGACCACCTTGTATATAATATATAAACACAAATATATTTATAAATATATGTTTATAAATATAAACGTGAATATTTGATCTCGAAAAAAAAATTCGCCAATCACTAAAGCCACCACCCCC